ACTTCATTTAAAAATCCCGATTCACCATTACAACACTGATTTCAGCAGCGATTGCCTCAGTCTTCCCAAAACTCTACGAAGAAGAAAAATCCAAATTCTATGTCTTTCCTTCCCCGACCCGAAGCATGAAGCTCCTCTCTCTAATTCCCTTGATCTTCAAAACCCTCCAATGAAAACCGAACTAGTAACCTTGAAAAGAGCTTGAAGCTAGCTCCTTGATCCAAAAAACCCCCGACAAAAAACCTTCCCCCTCAAAACTATATCCCCTCCTAACCTTATCCTCTGAATTTCTTCAATCTTCCGTCTTAGATCCGGAATTGGCTCCCACCTCAAGCTTGGATCCGAAATTGGCTCTCGCCGTCAAGCTTTCTCCTCCGTTTTTACCTTTAAGAAATCCATTTACCGAAAACAACGTTCCCTGAAACGGCACAGAGAACAGGACAGCCTGAAACAGAATCGAACCCCGTAATCGGGACCACATTGAGTCGCCCGACCAATTCAGGTCCTATTTTGGAAAAGATGCCCGTAGTAACCTGGATGTTCCCGTAATTGGGTCCAATTGGTCCTCGCGTCAGATTGGCTAAGACCTGTAGTAAGACCTGGATTTCCCGTAATTAGACTGCATTGGGTTGACCGGCCAATTCAGGTCTCATATTGGATAAGAGGACCCGGATTGGATTATCGAAATTGGATCCAATTGGCTCCTCGAACCCGTCATGTGAATTGGTCCTTCTCTTCCTGCTGACTCCCGTTATTGGAATCGAACGGAGCATTTCAGTATGCCCCGGCTGACTGTAACGGAGTGACTGAACCTGACCACTCAGTATTTGTACTGGAGTTGGTTGATGCTCCCAATATTCGAGGTAACTGAATATTAATAAAATTCTCCTTTCTTTTTTTTTCACTGTATACTCGTGTTACAACACGACAACACGTAGAAAAACTTGCCTTGTAAGTCAAGGCATGTGTCCTACAAAGTCAACACATATTGGAGGTCCTATAGAACGTCGCCACGTAGCTCCTAGTTAGATAGTATATATAGAGACAAGAGTGAAGGCTTCTTCACTCTTGTCAACTCCTTTCTTGCTCCTAGTCCAGGTTCAAGAGTCTTTAATTTCTTATCTTGTGGCAATAGCCATTCCAGTTTCCTTTTAATATACATACTTGTTTATATTTTGACTTATTATATCGAGATAGCCTTTTTGTGTATATTTTCCCTCATCGAGTCTTTGTCCTTGACAGTATCTTACAAAGTTAGCATGTATTAGAGGTCCTATAGAATGTCGCCATGTAGTCCCTACTTAGATAGTGTATATGAAGGCAAGAATAAAGCCTTTCTCACTCTTGTCAATGCCTTTCTAATCCTTAGTCTTGTTTCAAGACTTTTTAGTCTTCTTGTCTTTGACAATAGCCATTTTAGTTTAATATTATATCATCTTTCAATGATAATCTAGTCCTTTTAATGATAATAAGTGATACAAGAGTATTTTGATCTTTTAATCTTTGAAGATTCATATTCTTGACAGTACAACATGTATTTAGTTATAAAAGAGTTTTTTTATATCTTATTAATATCTTATAATAAAAAATTAAAGAACTTAAAATACTATTATTTTTTTTAAATCAAAATTCTAAGAAACCAAAAAAATCTTATATCTTATATCATTTATCTTACAAATTCCAAAACCAAAGTTTTGATATTTTTAAAATCTAAAACTTCTCAAATTTAAAATTCTAAAACCTATCATATTTTAAGACCTAAATTTTGTCAAATCTTAAATTGTGAAGCCTATACTCCTAAGCCAATATTAGGCAAATCTTTTGTATATCCTAAATATTAATAAATAAATAATACTAGATATCAATTTTTAATTGAATTATCAAATTAGCTTCAAAATTTACAAAATGATGTTTCTATAAACCATGTATGCATTCAAGAACCTAGAAAGAGATTTGGCATATAAATTAATGATTATTACAATAAAACTCACATTGATGTTGTTTATCTTCTTATTTTAAGTTTAATAAAGAATTTCAATGGTCAAATTTTTAGAATTAAAGTATTAATTTTGTCTCAAGTCTATTTTTTTCATCTATTTTTTTAACCAAAAATTTAAAAATTAATGATTTTTAAGATTATTTTTAAATTATAGAAGATCAAAAGCATAACAAATTCAAATTCCTTTTATAATATTATCCAACTAAAGTAATAAGTGCATAAATTAAGGTGGTAATTGTTTTACACAAAATTCAAAAAACTTGGTGTTTCTATCTATAATTACAAAACAAAATCCTAATTTTGTAACAAAAAAAGTAGTCTTAAGAAATTCAAAGGTATAAAAAAAAAGATTTATTTTTAAAAGAAATATTTCATGTTGAAACAAAAATGTTAGGATTAAGAACTTAAATTTGTTTTATTTTATTGAATGAATATGTACAATAGAATTTTTTTAACATTATTCTCTTTACTCTAGTTATACTTCCATCTAGCATAATAATAAGCACCTTTTTTCAATCTATACTTACAAAATAGTATCTCATTTTTTAAAAAGTAACTCATAATTTTTATTGTCTTTAATATAGATGCAATAAAATCTCAAAATTATTTCTTAGAAAGTGTTGGTTTTAGTTGATGCTCATATTGCACACCAAACATGCATCAATATATGAGAATGGTCATTTTTCAAGATCTTTAATGTCCACTAGTTGTTGTTTGGTATTACTAAGCCACATTAGCTTTTTTTTGCAATATAAAATTGCCTTCTGATAAGGAATCTTTACCTCAATGCAATACAATCCTATCTTATGTAAGAGAAAAAATAAGTAAATAAATAAAATAAAATGTTTTTTAAATTAGAAAAAATAAATTTGTGTGTATGTATATATATATAAATATACATATAATAACTTCTAAAGAATCAATTAGAATAAAATACTTAAAATTAGAATAAAAATTAGAATAAATAAAAGTTTTTTATACATAAATTTTTAAAATATTTTATAATTATATAAATATATATATATAAATATATATATATATATATATATATATATATATATAGATAGATATAGTAAATCATTATTAAAAATTTGGGACTTTTTTTCTTTTTTCTTCAAGAAATTTGTTTAAAAATTTTAATTCTCATCCTGCAATTTACTATGTAATCCTCTTTTCTTGTAGCTACCAAAATCTTAACCTCCTTTCTATGTTCTTTATTCTCTTTTATGATCTCTTTTATATCCATTTAAATTTTTTTCTTTGTATATACATATAAGTATATATGTATGATTATTTATATTATTTTTTCATAAATATATAAATTTTAATATTTAAATATCATTAATTTTTTTAAATTTCATCTTTTATAGATATGTCATAAAAATAATAGAAATTCAAATTTTATATAATGATACCACAATTATGTATATTTTTTGGATTGTTTGTATTTTAATATATTTTCTATAAATTTAATTTTAAATTACTATATAAATCAATCTATATATATATATATATATATTACAATACTGTACTTCAGTATTAATTGGGACAAACCAAAATATAAATAAATCTTCAACGAATTTATTTTAGTTTCTTGATTTTTAATAAAGTATGACAGCAATAATGCTATATTCATGTATATTATCAACAATAATTTTTATACCAATACATAATAAGAATTGTTTCTGATATAAAAATATGCTATAATAATACAATACCAAGTCTAATTTTACATTGCAATGCACAACTTTAAGAATTGTTCATAAACAAACAAGCAAATAACAAGAAAAAGAGAAAAAAGAAGAAGATTTGTTTTAGAATTCTCTTAGAATCTTAAAGAGAAAATTATTATAAATTGTCAAAATCTTATTTGAAGATGAAACTAATCTTTTTCAATTTTATAAGTCATTGCAAAGATATTATAAGATTGTAAAATAGTATCATTAATATAGAGGTCAAATTATTGTTGCATAGTTATAAACTAAAAACATTAATATGTTCAATAGTAATATTTTGTGGCCTCACTTTTAACAAAATACATATCTGAGAGGATATTTTTATTTTATTTTTTCTTTGTTATTATAATAATTTTAAATTTATTATGCAAAGAAGTAAGGTAACCATTTTAAAAATTACGATTTCCAATTCTAAATAGATTATTGAACATAATAATATCATTCCAAAATCTTAGTTATAAACAGATTTTTAAACTTAGCCATGAACAAACTTACTATGCATGTTAAAAAATAAAAGTTCTATAAAGTGCTAAATTATATTACCTAAATCAAAATATTAATTAAACAATAGTGATACAAATAGATAGAATATGTAAGTATCTTTATATAAAAAATAGAAAATAAATTATATTACTAAATTTTAAAAAATAAATACCTTATTGAAGAAAAATTTATAAAATTTATAGAAGTCTTTAGAATTTCATTTCTATATATTTCAATATAAACGAATTATTAGAAAAATATTATTAAATAAGCTGCATAACAAACAATAAAATTACAAACACTCAAGGAAAAATAAAATCAAATCAAATAATCAGATATTTAAGAGAATAATCAAAACATTAACATATCCTCTGTATTTAATGACTAAAATTCAAAATTTTAACCAAAAACAGTTTCATAGAATTAGAACAAAAATTATATTTTTACATTAAATAAGAGCTCGACATGCCTACACCATTCTACATTTCATGATAAACCAACATTTTAAAACCTTGAGTTTCATGCTCTATATTTTACTCATGGACACACAATACTAGATTAGTAAAGATAGAAACAAACTTACAAGTAGTTTCAATGTATGCAAGAAAAACCCACATGCATTGCAGAATTGTCATGCAAGATTTAAAAAAAAAAAAAAACAAAACAAAACAAAACAAAACAAAAAAAACAACAACAACAACAACAACAACAAACTTAAGCAGCAGGACCAAAGACTCCACACCTTAAGCTTGAAGCCTCTGCATGGACAAGACTCGCAGTGATGGATGAGAAATGTTGGGGGTGATACTTCCGTCTCTAATAAAACCGTAACTGTACATGAAGCTAGTGCAACAATCCTCAAGGGTTAGATCCCAGAGGGGAATAAGCCTGTCTGTCTGTCTGTCTGGAGCTACTGGGTCCCTCGATTTCGCTAATACACTACAGCCTTGTGGCCATCTTTCTCCCTCTTAGAAGGGACCATCGCAAAAAACTCCGAGATGATTTCCAAAGGAAGGCCCTTGGTCTCTGGAACCTTGAGAAATGCAAAGATCCAAGCCACCACGCTGAGCATGGCGAAGAATCCGAACACACCCTGCAGGCCCAGTAGCTGGTTCACAAGTGGGAAGGAGTATGTTACAAGGATGTTAGCGCCCCACATTGCAGCCGCGCAGATGCCCACACCCAGCCCACGCACGCTGGTTGGGAAGATCTCGGTGCACAGGATGTTCGGAACCGGACCAAATCCTGGCGTTGACACAGTGGACATGTGGTCAGAATCTGAGCGTAGACGGAGAAAACTTTAGTGAAACCATCTACGAATCACTGTATACGTGGTTACTCGATGAGTTGTTCGGCAGTTGACTCAGAGGAATGGATAAACTGGTTAGGGACGAAGGAAAAAAGTGTTTGGAAAGGTTAGGGACGAGTGGGCGATGGTACCTGCGACGGATGAGCAGGTGAAGATGACGATGAACATGTAGGAAATAGCTGCAGCCATCAGACCTGTGGGGAGGAACATGTTGGCCAGCACAAGCGCCACAAGAGAAATAACCAGAATTGGAATGGTCGCTAATAGCAATTGCCTGCAATGCAACAACACTTGATGAATTAGAAGTGGTATCTTCAACCTCCAACTCGGAAGCTAGGAAGGATGCATTTCTAGATAATGATATTCGACAGTGGAGACTAGCAAATGTGTTCTGTTGCATTTTTCACACTGTTCTGGTTAATTCCGAATTACTGTAAAACATGCACGATGCCGCGAATTCATCTTAAGGCCAGAAAGGAGGACACACCTGCGGCCGGATTTGTCAATAAGCCATATTGCCATCAGAATGCATGGTAGCATGAGTAAACAAGTTACGCCGCTAGCTAAGATGGACGCCGATTCCTCTTCAATACCAATACTTTCAAGCAACTCTCCAGCCCCAGATTGCATTAAAATTTGAGGGATGAAGTGCAACACAACATTAATGCCACAAAGCTGCATAAACAACATCGAGCTGTCAACATGAATCTACAAGATTGAAGTTCAAGTTGTCCCAGTGTCTACCCCCAAATGATTTTAGTATGCCCAAGCCAAGGCAGACCAGGCGGACTCATGGTTGCAAGACTCCAATGTTCATAACGAAGAGTCGACTAATAGCTGAAAATCCAACTCGTAAAACACAGAACAGGGAACCATTCTTACAAGGTGCCGATATTTTACACTTGTACAAGAGCCCTAAATACAAGTTGAGTCCCTACTATAGCGAAGATTCCAAATGAAAAATGGAAGGCTAACCTGCTGCAAAACCTGCATGCCCACGCCAACAGCAAGGGCACGCCGGACACCACCTTCCATCAAGCTTGACAGCACATGGCTGTGCTTGGCTGCCTCAGTGGGATTCAGCGTAGCAGGTCCCACCGGATGCTCGTTAAGCAGAGCACGGTTAATGGCCGTTTGAGCCACCAATACAGCAGCCTGAAACAACAGACATATTCTGAGAACCACAATCTGTAAACCTATGTACACAGAATAATGTCAAATACTTAGGCTGGAGAAGATCCACAGAACACTAAGAGGGTAATGAAGAGAGGGTAATTAGAAGAAGCTCTTGGAAAATTACCGGAAATGTTATATGATCACCGTGAAAATAAACAAGCCCAGAAAACCCAGCAGGATTCTGGGTTACATTGGACAAGTCACCCCCCTCGCTTTTTAAATATACTCTCTTCAGTGAACCATCTTTGGCATCCTTCTGCCAAGCTAGCTGCCACCCTCCACCCACACCGACACTTCCCAGAGACTCCGGCACTGCACTATCGCAAGTACTTGGTCTTGAGCTTTGCGTAGACCTTTGAGGGGAAATTCGAGGAGAGATTCGAGGAGACGTTCGAAATGACATGGCGGGCGCAAACATACTAAAAGCGTTCCTGCGGTGTGAGTTGAAGCATACTATCAATATTTCATCTCAAACGGAGAAGACCAAACTATCATCAATCTAACCCCTAAACCCTAAGATCCTCACTGTTTACAGAGCACTGGGAGATCTGTCCAGGTTTAGAAAGAAGGACGAGTTTAACATACCGGCCTCGTGAAATGGCATTGCCAAATCTGCCACTTCCATAGTTACTACCGCCAAGTAGAGGACGCCGTAGATGGTCATGCGCGTCGCGGTCACCCACCATGCCGCCAATATCGGTTTCAGAGTAGTATCCATTACCACCAAATCTCGGCGTTTCTGGAGCTTCTTCGTCCCAGTGCTCGGGTTTATAGTCATCGTCAAAAAATTCCCGTGAGTGCATGAAGTGGTCAGTGTTCTGAAAGCTTCCCAACAACGTAACCATGGGATCTACCTTGGGGAAAACGCTTAGGAGATCACGGTTGCCCGTCCGGGCAAGTCCACTGTGATGTTGCGATCCCCAGTCATCGACAATGGGAGTGGCCACCCAATTGACACGTTCATCAGGGGCGAAGAGCTTGATCTGGTTGCCATCTATATACTGTTCGTAATCCTCATCCTCGGTGGGTTTGATCAGCCATTCTTCTAGGCGACATTCGGCCACAACTCCCACACCCTCAACCAACAATGCAAGCTCTGCTGCAAAAGCACAAGTACCCCAACTTCAGGTCAGAAACATTTGTGCATTCCGAACCGACGCTGTCGTTCCAGAAATGTCCCAGTAGATTACAAACGCTTATTGGAAATATCGACAAACCTGAGACATCTTCCTCCTCTCGAAGGTTTTGCAGCACCACTTTAGCATCGTACATGCGTCCCTTGCTCACAAGCCACCGAGGAGACTCGGGCAAGGCAAACAGACATAGAATAGCGTAGATGAAGGAGGGTATGGCTAACACTCCTAGCATGGATCTCCAGTTGGGATTGTCTTGAAGTGACAGGACAAAGGCCATGACGTACGCAAAGAAGAGCCCCGACGACCCCAGCAGCTGAGGAAACGTTGCAAGTTGTCCCCGAGTCTCGGTCGGCGCAGATTCTGATATCAGAACGGGTGCAATTGTGGTTGCTAAACCAATTGCCAGCCCGACTACGACCCGGCTAAGGATGAGTATGTTCACAGTTGGAGTCCACAGCATTAGCATTGCTGCCGTGGAATACAAAAGCCCTGATATCAAGAGCACAAATTTGCGACCCATCCGATCCGCGGCTGGGCCAGCCACGATTACACTAGCTGCAGCACCAAAAAAAGTCGAGGCCACTACCAAGCCCTCCAAGGTGGGAGTTGATTCGAGATGAAACTCGGGCTTTAGATACAGAAGCGCACCTGCGATCCCAACAACAATTTGAGCAATTGGAGTATGAATACGTTGTTGGGTATCAATATTCTTAACCTTGGTGATCAAAGCGGAGAGGAGGTTTTGCAAAATGTGCAGGAGACACTGAGAGAACAACCCAAAATGAAATTTGAACTCATGACATGTTAGAGCTTCCACCGAAACCATGAACCCATCACAAGAATTGAAACTCGACAGATGACGAGATATCTTCTTTACCTGCTGTTGCACCAATATCCCAACCTTGAAGAAAGTTTCCGGTTGCAGCTACTGCTGCAACTCCAGTTGCCCCTTTAAACCTCATCGTGCTTTATATGCTTTGTCGATTGCCCCAAATACACACACCTTCACATTACAGGATTCCTGTCAAATTTAAAAAGAAGCGAGAATCGTCATTTTGATCCATTATCCGGGTGATACCTAAAGTACATTAAATTCTGCGACGAAAACATCGACGTGTGAAGAGTAAGTTTCAAGTGTACTTGGTGGGTGGAATTTTAGCGGCGTTAATTCGTCTACATGAACGAGGCAATAGCTATTTTAAGAATTCCGCGAGAATTTGTATGCTTTATTCTGAACTCAACACCAGTTCTGGTAACCCTCGACTAACCCTTCCAAACGCTTAAAAAAAGTCGAAGCCACTCTACCAATATTGTTTCATTTCTACTGTTGCTACTATTATTTAGTCCTTAATAGGGTCCGTTTACGAGCACGATTGTTGAATGAAATTGCAGCCTTGAAGCCTGGGATTTGAGAGGTGCAGGCCCGCCCATGGCTGCATTCGGGCTAGGTCCCGCTTCATTGCGAAACGGCGCGAAAAAATTGCTAGGTTTTAGTGTGGTAACGAAATGAAAAATCACCTGGTGCAGTCCGCAAGATGGCGGAATCCGAGCCTTCAAGTCAAAAAAGACGACACACCACACAGACCCAAGAACAATGTTTCCAAAGTATTGGTTGAGTCGCTTCTGACAATCATGACAAGATGACAGATATGAAAAAAAAGACGAGGAACATTACAACCCAGTTTACGGCTATTACCAAAAATCTAGTTTCTTCTCCCCAAGTGCACGAAAGTCCACACAAAGAGACGGAACGAGGACACAAGCAGATACAAATGCACCTCTTGCGCACCCGTCGACATGAAGGTTGTTTCTCATCTCTCCAACAAAAGACGTAAGACTGCCCACTTCTCAGCCAAATGGAGGGAAACCAGCTAGACAGGAAACCGCATCCAAACCCAAAAGAAAACACATAACAAACTCAATTGCGGGCGACGTTCGTAATCTAAGGGTTTTCAGTTTCAAAAGTGCATTTAAACCACCAGAACCCTTCTAATCATGACCTCGAAGCCCAGACTTGAAACCAGGAGACAACTATCCAACCCCAAAAACCACTAATGCAGCCTGTTACAACAAACACAACTCTTGCAAGCTGCTGCACAGAACTCCGGCACTTCGAGACCCACAAAACCGATGCAGACTCAGCTAGAACCAGTCTACCGACGTTCACACTGCCCGCGAGTCGAACAAAGATGCGATCTTCGCGTTGCCAACACAGGAAGGTGGAAGTAGAAGAAGAGGAAGAAGAAAAATGAACACAAACAAACAAACAAGCAAACAAACAAACCAGTCAGATGGTAGCTAGACGAGTAAGTGATCCAGTGGCTTGCGAGTTCGCATCTGGATGCTATTGTCTGGACAAAAAAAAAAAAAAAAAAAAAAAAAAAAACACAGTCTGAGCGGGAGGAGCTAGAGCAGAGGCCGGACACTTGGCACACAGCGCCAGTCACGGCATCCTGACCCCAGCTGCATCGATTGAACGATCCACGTTCCTCCAGGCACCACCATCTGCTCTGCGGTACATGTGTGAAATTCGCAGCTGGTGTCCCATTCCCGGAGTGGAGTTATTCGTCTCGGCTTTCTACATGGGTTCCGTAGGCGGCGAGACTCCGACATGTGTCCATCTCGACTGCATGTGCCCGCGAGGCAATTGTGAATGTGCTGTTTGCTCCGGCACTTCGTTCTTTGGAGCTCCGAGGATTCCTGGAACAGCAATAAGCCAATCGACATTCATATCATTTAAAATACTATTCTAAAAATGTTAGCCCCTTTATCACTGATCACAAACTGCTATTCTTTTCACAGTGAAGACCGTGGCCTTTAAAAAGTAACAAGCCCAATTCAATTTTACTGCATAATTGTTGTTCACAGAGATAATTTACCCAGTAATTTCAGTGTCTTTCCCACATGCATATTTCCTTACACTACTAAGTAAATATTATAAACGTGTATATTTTAATTAGAATTTTTTAATGAACGTGTATATATATAATTAAAAAAATTCTGTACTAAAAAGTCACAAAATATTGAAATCTACAACTTCTCGTCAGCAATGGTGAGTCTAAAAACTGACTAAAGCTGCGGGGGCACCCATCGTTGGCACCCACAGTAAGTCAAGCAGGGCGGTTCACAGGGCCCTTCTGCTTGGTCTTCTTCTTCTTCTTCATCCTCTTCTCCTACTTCCCTTCCCTCCCGCTCATCCCGCTCTGACAACAGCAGCGCTCCTGTCTGAACTCCGCACCCTTCGCCACCACGAAGCAAATTAAGCCATCGAAGTTCGAGGCTCAAAAGCTTCCTCTTCCGGTTTTTTGCATTATGTAAATAAAAAGCAGTTCGTTTTTTTCTTGAGAAATTCACAGCCACTAATGAATAGTTGTGAGTGCTGCCTGCTTTGCCGAGCTTTCCACGGCAGCAAGTAATTTTCCAGACAAGGCAAGGGCGCAACAGAGCGACCGCAGGAAGGGAAGGTAGCGAAGCGAAGAAGTGCAGCACGGCACCAAGTTGCGAGAAGCAACAAAACAGGGGTTGGGGGAAGCCGGGATACCCTGTGAGCTCTCTGATTGGCGCGACCGCATTCTGCCAGCTCAGCTTCTCATCGTAGGATTGGATGTGCACGGGGCCAATAATAAAGCGGGGCCTAGGTCTGGGTGGGACGTGTGATGGGGTGGGAGCGTTGGGAGCTGTGCCCAATGCGAAGCACATGTGTTGCAATTGCATAAGGATGAGGGAGGGGAACATGTTCCCGGTTCCCCCACATGTTCTCGACGCTCATTAACCGTGCTCCTTGAAGAGTTCCCAACGAAGGGGGCGCCACGTGGAGGGCTCCCGGCTTCTCCTGCTCATCGAGGGCTCCGGTTATTGGATGGATGAATGTATGAATTAATGGATAGATGGATGGATGGATGGATGGGTGTGTTATTAGTGGTGCAAATAAAATAATTAGTGTAAATTTTATTTGGGAGCAATGGTTCTCTATATCCTTTGAATTACATTAAATTTGTAACAATTTATAGATAACTTGGAATTACTTTAGTTTAAAATAATAATAATAATAATAATAATAATAAAACTTGCCATTTTACCCTCAGTAATCAATTCAGTGTTCTTCACTTCTTGGATTGTGAAATCAAAATTGGATAATAAAAAAGTTAACAAATTTTTAATGGGTTCAAACATGGTTTATGATAATTATAATTTATGTTAGTCAAACATAATACATCAATTTAAAATATATATATATATATATATATATATATATTGAATATTAATCAGCTATCATTAAGATTCCATTTTCTCCAATAACCGAAAACCTATGAAATGAGTCTTTATAAATATGGGCTGCTTATAATAAAGCTTGTAGGAATAAAAGATTTTAAATGATAAATCTGCAAGTATATGAGTCTTAAACAAAATTTTCTTTTTTCTTTTTTTATGAAATAGTATTTGATGCAAACTTGTCTAATCTCTATAGTTTTTAGAACATAATTTATTTTTTCATGATGATGATTGTAATTCAATGTTACATCATAATATTTTATGAAATTGTGTGCTGAGTAAGACAACAAATATTTTTATGTGTGTAGTTCTTTGATGGGGTGTGCGATGTAAATAAATAATTGAAATTTCTTTCATGATTCTTTTATTTGATCTCGTTTAAATGAGTTGTTTTTCTCTGAAATCCATCAAAAGTCTTAATTAGATGACCAAATTACTGTTCTGGAAAAAAAACATTGATCGTAATCTTGTCAAAATTAGTAAAATTATGAATAGATATTCTTTCAAGTTAGATCTTATTTCTCTGTACATCACAAAATAAAAAGATAACTTAGAAAAAAAAATTCGCAGAAATTTGGTTACCTCGTGTCTTGATAAAAGGGGCAAAAGGCCATTTCTTTATTTGTGTGCTTTGGAATACTTGGTGTAAGTATTATTTTACATTTTTTAATTTCTACAAATATGTATTTGTATATGAGTATATATTTTTATTTTATGTCTTGGTATAGAATCCTTATAACATGGATTGAAGTTGAAAGGCACGCATTTCTTTTAAATCATCGATAACGCTTAGAGTAGGTCCCATTTATGTCATCACCTTGAATAGACGCAATTTTCAACGTGGAGATTCAGTGGCAATCGAGAGCAGAGGGTATCGACAGCGAGACAATGTTGTGTTTCCTTCATGCATGTGGCACTCGACGATATTTTGAGAATGCGGGTTTCGATGTGGTTCAGCATGTGTAGAGATTGATTCAACGTGTTTTTTCCAAGTGTGGTTGCCCACTCTTCCACTGGAAGACAGCAGGTGTTTGACCCATCTGTGTAGGCCTGTTCGATTTCACCAGTCACGATGAGAGAGTGACCAGAAGTGTTGTCTCGGTCCGCGAGCGGCTGAATCGGTGATTATCAAGTGCAGAATGCTGGTTGGTTGAAGGCCTTCGATGTTTCTTCTGAAACCTGGAAGATGCGTATGGGTTTCCGTACGCAAGCATAGATTCTGAGTCGTGGCAAGGCTTCGAGTGAAAAAGACGACGGCGTTTGTGCGAATCTAGACCGATGCCGTGTTTTGTAGTGTGAGAACTCCAATGACGACGGCAGTCTAGGGGTCCAAACGTTGTGAGATGCTCCACTGGAGGACGGTGGATTGTAGTCGGGAATGCCGGTGCCAATCTCGAAACTTGGCTCAGATTTTTCGTTCTTGCTTGCTCACGACGCGTCTCCCCGTTGCGGAGTTGGCAGTTCATACTATCTCGAGCTTTGCGATTGCGCATGTTTACAGATGAACGTCGGAGTTCTGCCTACAGTGGTGCGAGCTAAGAAACGATATCGTCTGTTCGGACGGAAACGCGTGGGCAATATGCAGGAGCTTGCTGACACCAGCGCAGGGCCAGATCTTCACAAGTTCGCATGCATGTCTGCTACAAGCTTTTACTCGTGTTTTGATTGCTCGCTTCTCTAATCTACCGCCATGTTTATGGCAATTCTGATGCAGCATCTCGAGTCGCGTTTCTTCGCCAGGCAGGCTGCTGGCAAAATGTTTGGCTGGTACATCAGGTGTGTTAAGATGTGTATAGATGGGCATGCGGAAGCTATCGAACAGCACCCAACAACGGCGCACAATAGTTGCGGCGAAGCTGCTCATTGTTAACTCTGGCGTAGTCACACAAAGCTTTGTTGCGCATTTGTCTTGTTCGTCTACTTTGTCTCCAGTTTCCTCAAACACGCATTCACAGCATGTATATCGTGGGCACTATTGCATTGCTGAATAAGTCCAATAACCACAAAAAAACGAAGCATCTAAGCTAGTGATTTTGTCAATCTGTTACGTACAAAACAATATTCCGATTGTCTTTCAGTGTATTGAATTTCTGTTGAGCTTCGGAGTACAACTAACGGAATGAAACTGTTGGTGAAAGAGGCTAAAAATAATTCAAAAAGGGACTGAAGTTAAGAAGAATGTTCAAGATACTAGATGGACTAAAAGATTCATGCCTATAGCATTATGGGTTCGCTCTAAGGTCATTCTCTCTATTCTTCATATTTTTAGGACTACAATGCTAATAACATGCACCGAGAGTTGAAACTTATCTTACCAACGTGCGAGTACTAACTACTCATCAATTCAGTTTCTACAAATTAGCATGGAGACATGCAAGGAATGCAAACTGTACTTTTACTGCTGGGGCATTGATTAACAGAACATGAGACGGCAGTTTCACTACCATAATCCTGACATCCATTTGGGACAGTTAGTTTCAAAAAAAATTAAATGATGGAATTTTATTTAGTCATTAACAAGTAATTTGGAGCATTGTCAGTGACTGACATTTTCAGGCCTCAAATGTGGGCCTCAATACGATGACTATTACAACATACACAAAAAAATTAATTGGCATTATTTTTTAACCCCTTTCCCCGGGATGGAATAATCGTATTGAGAGGCAGTTACAGTAGACTATTTTCATATCATTTAAAGATTATTACAAGAGAGTAGGCACCAGTAATGCGTTCTGATTTCCATCCCTGTTGCGAAGCCTTCATTGATAAAGCAATTTACATCCGGGGCATGGCTACCATGAAGTCTTCCACCCTACATACTATGATACAAATGACGGACAGGGCTTTATGTGAGGACGACTCGGGCAAGACGACTTGCGAAAAAATGGAAGTGCTCAGCAGTGACAGATGTGCAGGGGATACGTTACATTCCTTTACAGCTACTTTCCGCAGCCCAACTCTTCCTGGAAAAGAGCATTCCTTTTCGACTGCACTTTGTTCTGGATCCGTGCAGAACGTCTCATTGCTGACCCTACAATGTGAGGACCATTGAAAAATGTGCATCAAAATCAAGGTGAGTAGGGCCGAAGAAATTCCCACATTACAAAAGAAAAAAACAAGAAAGAAAAAGAAAAAAAAAGAAAGAAAAAGAAACAGAAACATTAAGATCAATTCTAGTTATCCGTCAAGAACTATACAAATTTCTCAATGTGCTTTGACCGACCACTGAATTGGCTAGGTCATGTTCGTAAGATATGATACCTGGGGTTGGGGCACCTGCAGCACTGCTGTCCGCTCCTTGTTCACCCTGCAGTCGGCAGCATGTCAACTCCATTGAGCAGAGTAATCTCAAATTAATACGTACAGGAAAAAGCATCAACTTCTACATAGGATCCTCTACATAGTTACATCACCAAAGCGCAGTTACAAAGTATTCAAACTGACGCGGCAATGCAGTGACGTGCACATGAAGAAGAGAACATCGAGAAGCACCTCAATTATCTTCCTCGGCTTGTGGACAGTCTTTGGTTCCAAAACTTCATGCTTTTCCTCTTTGGGTGCAGCCTGTTTCCTGGCAGATGATCTAGTCGTTCTCCTCACTGCTGCGAACTCAATCGCAGCAATGTCAGAATATCCTCATTAATAGCTACAGCTCAAAATGTAAATAATAAGCTAACGAAACCAATTAACACTAAAACCGATTCTCCACATTTTAGGATTAACACAAGGCTCCTTGAGACAAGTCCCTAAGGCCAGTACGAGATTCCAGCGAAAATTCAAAAGACAGTAGAGAAGATAGAAAACGCATAACTCACGTTTTGCTGGACTGCACGTAGAGCTCACACACTTGTCTACAGCATCACAAGTCCCATTCTCAGGATACCTATTCTGGTTCCCTATCTGAGCCTCCAGATACTCAGACAATGGACTCGCCTCCTCTGGCAACTGAGCAGCCAGAAGCTCCTTCAGCTTCGACCCCTTCATTTCCCGCTCCACTATAGCTTTCCAGGAAGGTTTCGGAAGATTCATTCGCGGAGTCACTTCTTTGAATCCTCGCGATGAGCGCTTGCTCTTCGCACTCGACGAGTGCGACGATGGACTGCCACCATTATCCCCAAAGGGTGAGCACGCCGCAATCCCATCAAATGGACCTCTAGGTGTCAAGTTACCTACACTACTAGATCTGCGATGTCGAGCTCTCAGGATCCCGGAACTGGCAGGCTCGCATGGAGTAGCGAAACTTGGAGTGGCAGAAAAGGGCACGGCGTCAACTTTCGATGTCTTGTGCCTCGGGGACACTCTTACAGGCGTAGTGTGAAGGGCTTTGGGGCCCTCGCTTTGCACAGTCGTACGCTCTTCCTGTGCAGTGGATTCTGCTCCAATTGAAATTTCCGGAGGCTTCGTTTTGGCGGAGGACTCCGACTGGCGCGACTCATCCAAAACGGTCTGCAAGCACGTCAAAATCAACAAGTGTTAGAACAGCACTTCGTAGTTGGACTTCACACTGAAGGATGACGAAAAACGCTACACAATACACACATGCATGTTTCAACTAGCAAGTCGCCAACAGATTAAGCGAACTGGTGATGAATTATAGACTGTCACCTCTGTGCCCTCTTCACCGACTTGCGCTGCTACCTTCGATTCTTCAACTACTGCAAGTACGTTGCCCATGCAAAACATCCGCATTAACTCCAAATTAAATAGAACTATCATGAGTCAGATAATCTTAAGTTATCTGCGAAGGATGTCCAAAGTGCAACGCTGGAATCATATGAGATACTACAGATTAGTAATAATCGGCCAGCAATCCATAAGATAATTAATCAATTTTTGTGTGATTGTCGATAAATAAAAAGAAAACAAAATTTAACCTGTAAGCTCCTGTCTTCCTCCAGAAGCTATAACAGGAGCGTCTGTTGCCTCTGGAATGACACCTCCCACAACTGCCAATTGAGAGAACAATTTCACCTTATCCTCTACACTGAGAAGTGAACGTTCACCTTTGCAGTGAACGCTCAAAAGAACAGCATCCGCGCTCAACGTGTGCCTATGATGTCGAGGAACTTTTTCTTCAACGAGCATCAAAGATTGGTTACCCGCACTCTGAGAGCTTTCCCTCCTCTCCTGGCTTGTAACAGGAGAAAGTGAGTCGCTCAACTGGGCGGCACTCGGTTCAGAAGGAGAAAATGAAACATCCTCAGGGAGGATCAGTGATACCACCTCCTGCATTAGGGAATCCACATCCATTTTCTGCACCGCTCCTCTACCTACATCACCACATCATGATACGTAAGAAACCAAGCGGTCCACCCCACACACGACAGACAACCGTTAGATTTAAAACTACAACCGCTGGCACCAAGTGAATTGCCAATGGCCAGCTGACGCAGGCTCATTTACGAAGTTCATGACGATGAACACGACCTCTACTCAACACAAAACATGATAACACCAATAGGACGCTTACAATTAGGGCTGAGGTCCACATTTTCCTCTGTGCGGGTGGATTGAATATCCGGTGTGTCCACTTCAGATGAATCACGATCCAGCCACTCAGAGAGGGAATCCACCGGCATCTCCGCACTACCATTAGCCACTGCGTGCCCCGGTGTGGATGCTCCCTCCAACGCAAGAGGACTATGTTTAACATGAGTAGAAGCTTCCGCGAATATGCATTCGGCTCCGGTTGTTACTTCAGCAGTGCTAGAGACAAATTTGAAACTCGGCGTCACAAGCTCGTCAGTAGTAAGGAATGAGGAACACAATGAAGGCACCGTAGAAGTGAGCTCGCCAGATATTTGCGCGTCGACATGTTCATGAATTGAGGACCCAGTCGTGGACTCGCAAACCACTTCAGATTCTGGAACACAATCCTGCACACGCAAAAATACGTTGTCAAAAGAAAGAGAAATTGTACATAACACCCTCTAATGGACCAGGGGAACTCATGGGAAGGTCGTTGACAGCGAGTGGAAGCGCTAATTAATACGGTTCTATCCGACGCTTAGGTGCAGAACCAAAAGCACATGTGACAGAAGAAGAAACTCAGCAGAAAATAAAGGAAACATACCAGCAAACGTTTCTGAGCCTTCGGTTGGCTAGATTGGATACCAAGGCCTGCCTTCTCTGTAATTTGAAACCAAGTCAGTCAACCCAGAGGAATGACGAGCAAAAACAACTCCCGTAAATTTGACAGGAAAAAGGTAAACTGCTTAACGTAACCAGTGAACGGTATTGAAAACAGACAACCTCGTGGTCAAGGTTTCAGACCAAATTAATACGAGAAAAATCATACCGCCTGCTTATCTTGCCCACTACCCCCAAGAACGACTCACCAATCCAAGAGTCAGACTACAGCGGGTTACATGGTCAAGTAAGGCGACTCAAACGGCTTAACGGACTTACCAGGAGAGTGAGCTACGGCTTGCGATGCTAAAAACTCCAAAGTCTTCTCCAATTTCCGACCATACTCTGCTTTCGCATGCACCGATTTCGAGTTCGGGTCCACAACAGAAAAAGTTGCTGACCTCGCCAACATCCTCCCCATAAAATGTGGACGCTTCGCTGCCACATCCTTCGTCACCGCGCCGCCGTTCTCACTAACAACTGGTGCGACGATTGTGATCTTGCTCACACACTGCCACAAACCCATCCCGCGGTTCACAACACAACTCAAACGTACTCACACCAACATCCTCTACTTTTCATCATCCAACTATGCCCTGCTGCTTTGCAACCTTCAATGCTTACGCCTTTACAGCCCCTTCAACAACGTTTTACTTCAAATCCTGCTCTTGCGGCCCCCACCTTCACTTCTCATTCCCTACTTCCTGCATCCACTTCCACTCTTTCCGTGCACACTCCTACTCCTTCCCCATAATCTACCCGCATCCACAATCGTATCAAGTCATCCCACACCACACAAACACCTCATCCCGCCTGCACTATACACTCTCATCGCACTGTCCAAGCCCTCACCTCGCCCATTCCAACTATTCAGATCACCAACCACCCAAACGCACTCACACTTCCACGCAGCGCCACGCTCATGGAGGGTAAGGAACTCACAGCTGCACCACTATCACCGTTACTCAACACTGCCGCACTCCCATTTGATTCCTCTGATATCGACTCCCCTTCTTCGCCTCCTTCGATCGTCGTCGACGACACCGACACTCCTGCCACTCCCTCGCATTCCTCCACAAGCTGCTGCACGACCTCGTCGCTTGGGTGACCCTCTCCATACCGCTTCAGCTCCACCTTCACCATTTCCCGGGGCTGCATCAAACATCCCCCCGCTGCAATTCATCAGTCACCTCTGCACCACAATCACCCATCACATGCGCATTCAACATGCCACCCCTCGCTCCAACCTCTCCTCCCCCCCCCAATCAGCACCAACGCACCTCCGCTTTCAACCTCACGGCCACCCGTAACAAGTCTACCACCACGTCGTTCTTCTTCTCGCCCTCTGCGAGCTTGATCAGATGCACCCAGTGAGCTGCAGAATACAGCACAGACACACTCCCTGCTGCAGACGCCTCCGCTGGGCCCCGAACCGAACCGTTCTTCGAGCACCAGCATCCTCCCTTGTCCAACGAATACACCCGCGGAGCTCGCGCCGCCACTTGGCTCTTCTGTTCCACCATGCTCGTTTTCGTGCCCACTCGAGGTCGTTTCGCACCCAGAGAGCTGCTGTTCGCTGCCACCTTCTTGGCAGACGTGTCCGCCTTCGGCTCCCTTACAGAAGCGGAAAACACCATGGCAGGTTGAGAAGAATTCAGACTGTCTGCCGAAGGCTTCCTCTGATGACTTGGAGCTGCCCTTCCTGTGATAACCACCGGAAGTTCACTCAGTGACCACCACGGACGGTAACAACCTCCAATCATGTGCAGATCGCATCATATAGAAGCTGAAAACGCTGAACTATGCTGCTCCAGATCCTAAGGTCATCCGTTGCAGGACACCAACATACAAACGTAACACACGATAGTGAAGAGGCCATATGTGATGTACCTGGAATGAAAGGCAGCTTCGTCATGTTCGCTTGGCCAGTCTGCGGCTTGTCTGCGTTGGTGGAGAGGTTTTTCTTCGAAGCGAGGGGAGCAGCGTATCGAGATGGCACAGCTGAGAACTGCTTCAGTGTGCGTGTTACCTTTCGACCATCCGCGATGCTCTTCGCAGTTGAAAGGTGATCTTGGCTGAAATGCAACAGAACCGAGAATGAGCCTGCAACTAGTGGGAAACCACACCAGACTGCCAAATGACTTGGCACACTGCTCCTCGCACGCCATACCTAGCGATTGTGACATAGGATGGTAAATGCATTACCTCTTGTTAAGACCGTTCACACGCCCATTGACATCCTTCAAGGCTCGCTCCTGGCGATGGCTGAAAGTAGCTGCTCGAGTTAATGTAGGGCCTACGTGCACATGCAATCCCTCATGAGAAATTGAAGAAAACGCATGCTTCGAATGTGCTTGCGGTCGGTGGATTTGTATCGCACAAGTCAGAATGAAGCAGCAGAAACTATTAAGAGTCGCGGGTGTAGAGCCCATCAAAATCTTTATGAGTACTAATGTTCTTTAGTAACCCACGCTGTGACCCTCTACCGCGTTCAAAGCAGATTGGTTTCCAATCAGCTGCGTGAGACCGGTATAGAGCGTGAATTTGGCATGTGCAAAGACGCAGAACTCGACTTGAACTCGACAGAGAGTATTTTCACCACGAGCAACTCCATTTTCTGAGATCACGTGACATTTCTAATGGCAACACGACCTTATCAAGAGGTCGCATATTGTTTCCGCGGACGTCATAGGGTCAATTTCCGTGTCACACGAGATAATTTAAATAATGCTCTGCAAACTGAGCCTGCGGATGCTCCCAGTGTGCGAATCATTATAATACCGGGACGGCAACTCTGGGATACATATTAGATAATTGAGGGGAAAGAGAAGTCCACCGACACGCCACAGCAACCACACAGTGCCACATCCCACACCGTAACTGACTGCACAATCGAGGCAGCTATAACCAGGAAGGCGTTTACCTGTGAGCTCCATAGAACCCGCTTCCACAAAAACTCAAGATATTGAAGCTGTCTTCAAGTCAAAACGTAGTAACTACCGCACCACACCACAGCATAGAATCACGAACTCCACTGCTCCAATTGTAATTACAGAAATTGTAGAATGATGGAAGGCAGACCGGGACCGAACCTAAAAGGATGTCTATTACCACTCCTCAGAACACGTAGGACTTCTTGACCAATTCAAAACACCCTATACAAACCCCTCAAACTTGACAGAAAAACAAAAAATTTACGCAAAATCACAGTCTAATACCAATTCCGCAAACGCAACTTGAACAGAATTGCCTCGACTAGAAAAAAACAGAGACAAGCATTGACACACCAACAGCTAAATCCAAAACGGAATTAAACACTCGACTACACTTCAAACTAGCTACAACACACACTACCGCTCACCGCTACAGAGTATGAAGGATCGTTGAGTAGAGAAACACGAAGGAATAGACGGGCAGCAGCAGCTACTGCCATGGCGGGGTCGCGGTGCGCGCGCAAGATGGCGCCGGTCCCCATCCACGTCCCCAAAATTTGAAATCCACATCCGGAAAAGGGTAGTTGTGATGGAACTGACCGTTGGGAACGCGCGTTCATGTCGGGGTCCAGAAAACTTTCCCGAGCCTCGGTTTGAAGCGCCGTTTGCTTCGCCCAGTTCCAAACTGGGACGCTGGAGTCCCTCTCAAGCTGTAGTTTGTATTTTGTACTAGCGGAGTGCCCAAGGTCGTTGCGACTTCCAGAACTTTTGAAATTTGAAGTTGGGACTCGTGTATTATTAGAGTTATGAGATTGCAGACTGATTCTAAATGTGGTGGCGGCAGTATCATGAGTGTAGCAAGTTTAGACATTTTTATCGTCAGTTGGTCTGAAGTGAAGGTTTCGTGACTATCATACATTTTTTATATTTTTTATATTTTTAACATCTTGAAGTAGAAGCAAGATCTGTAGCGACAAAAACATTGAGCTGAAGGTATGGGCTGGGCTTTAATATTTTAAGTAACAATGAAGAATAAAATTAGTGACAATAGTAATGTCATGTTTGATTAGTATAGTGACCTTTACAGTCTTGTTTTATAAAGCGTATTTCTTAAGAATGGGCTTTGTAATCCAACAATCAAGTGATTTTATTGTTTCCAATATTTATAAAATATTGCCAAGAAAATACAAAGAAATTAGTAATTGCAATGAGATTGTAAGTTGAATTGTAAGAGTTCGAAAAGATTGTTATAATTAGATAAAATAATGACCTATTACTCATTTTGTACATATATTGAGTAAAACATTGAGTAATAAATAGACCTTAGATTAATACACAAAAAAAAAACTTATATTTAAAATAAATTAATTAATGATGGACTTGCAAGTCTTAGATACTTAAATTATATCAAATATCATTCTAAAACATCTATTCTAAATAGACATTGTCTAATTCCACTTTCTACATAGAATGCTATATATTATAAATTATATAAAATAATCCTTTAATTTTATAAAATAATTTCTAAATTTCTAATTATAATAAATAATATTTTCAAATAAAATTTCTTAATATTTGGAATTTAAATCAGAAAAAAATCAATTTTTATATGTTAAATAATAATGTGATTTTAAAACTTTAAAAAATAATAACTTGCATTATACACGTGCATTTAAAGATGAAAAGTTAATTCATACTACCACTTTAAATTATAGGTCAAACATACAATTGTTTTGCAAATTTTTTATTAAAATATACTAAGTTCTACAATAAATTTTATCTTATATAAAAAAAATTCAATTGTTAGTTTTCATATCATATTTTAGATAAGATTTACATAATTGAAAGCAAATAGAAACTATTTATATGCAAAAGAAGAAAAAAATATGATTGTTGTGGATCAAATAGGAAATAAAAGCATCAATTTATTTTATTAAAGCTTTGTTGGTTACATGTAAGTACATAAAAAAAATAAAAAAAACAGGACACTACTTTGTAATAAAATGTAGTACGTGCAAATTTTAAAAAAATACAAGAAAAAAGATATTCCTCGCTTATTGCAACATACTCTTAAATCCAGAATTAAGATTCGACAAAAGTATGCTTAAAGATTCCTTGAATAATTTTTTAAATAAGAATCTTAAAAATTAATATATGAAATACTATTTATGAATACAACCTTCTTAATAACATTAATACTATTATTTTCATACAAACTTAGAAACAATGACTTTATAAACCTATAATACAAGATTCATAAAAACATCTCTTTTGTAAGTAGTATAAAGAAATCATGCTTGATTTTTTTTTCCATTAAATAATAATCAAAACAGAAATAGAAATCTTTAGATTTTATATCATATTTTATAGTTACTAAAAATAATCCTGTAAAATATACCAATTACTATAAGACAGGTCATAAATTCCTTCACTTTGCTTGAAGTACCATATTATGCCACAACTAATTTGCATCTAATATAAAGTTTTTTAATAACATTCATCTTTATAATATTTTAGGTTTTTTTAGAAATCAATTAAAACATTCAAATATATTAGTTTTTAAGATTAAAAACAAAAAGGTTTTAAACAAGGCCAAAATATTTTTTTAATACATATTCAATTTTTTTCTGTAGCTATTTACTTATTTAAAATCAAACATTTAGATTAGAAATTAGTTATTAGTTGTTTAAAAAGACAATAAAGAAAAAAACAATTGGCTTCCATATATCCTAGTATAGAAATTTTTAAGTTTTAAATTTAAACTTCTATAATATTTTTTTATATTTTTAGAATATAAATTTTAATTTTTTAAATTTAAATTAATTTTATTTATGAATCTAAATTCTTAAATCTTTAAATTTAAAACTCCAAAATATAATGCTATAGTAAATCCAAATTTGGTGATTTCAAATAATATTTTTATTTTTCTTTACTATGACTTTGTTTAATTTAAGATATATACTTAGTTTCTATAGAAATTTTGACTACACACTAAATAATTGCAAGGAATTAATTTTTGCATTAGACATTAGAAAGAAGGCATATACATATAGTTAATATTTATTTGAATAAATTGTTTTAATAGATTCATAGAATTTCAATAAATTTACTTAATTTGATAATTCAAAAGAAAATTGATGACATGGAGAAGATATCAATTGATAAAAGTCTCTCAAAAGAAGATACTATATTTTAAAACAATATGGAGTGGTTTAACATATCAATGAATATGTCAAGTTAAAGTTAAAAATTTCACCTATTTCTAAACTAAAATCTTTTTAAATAGTATAGATTATTTTTAATGTCTAAAAGAATATATATAATATATATTTAAATTTAAATTAAAAATAAAAATAACTTTTTTAACAAAAGACATTATGTCTTACATTCCATCTTGCTATCACTTCCAAGTAAGTAAGGTAAGTAAGTAAGTAAGGTAAGTAAGTAAGTAAGGTAAGTAAGTAAGGTAAGTAAGTAGGTAAGGTAAGTAAGTAAGTAAGGTAAGTAAGTAAGTAAGGTAAGTAAGTAAGTAAGGTAAGTAAGTAAGTAAGTAAGGTAAGTAAGTAGGTAAGGTAAGTAAGTAAGTAAGTAAGTAAGTAAGGTGGCCAACAAATAGAGATATAGAATCTTTTGTCTATACTTAATTCTATTAGTGACAAGAATTCAAAGAATGTAATTAAACAAGTAAAACATGTCTCAAAGAAAATATCATAAATAAATAGAAATATATATATATATATATATATATATTCAAAAAAAATGAATATTACCAAAGACAAGAAAACTACAAATTTTTCGAATTAGACAAGAAGCAAGAAAAGAGTTGATAAGAGTAAAAAAGACTTAATTCTTGATTCTATATATATTATCTAACTAAGAAACTATGTAACAATATTCTATAAATCATCCAATATATATTCAACTTGCAAATCATGTGTCTAACTTGTAAGGTAAGTTTCAAATATGTGTGCTAGAAGGCCAATTTATACAACATGTAGCCAAGATGTGCAACACATAGCCAATTTTTTAGCCAAATTTTTAACCTATTAAGTACCTACAAATACTTAAAAAGTCAAATTGGTATTTATATAGCTTCTAAAAATCTTTTCCATAAGATATTCTTAAATTAATTTATTTCTACTTAATTTCTTATATCTAAGTAAATTCTAATATATATATATATATATATATATATGTTTGTAATATTACCTTGCTATCTAAAGATAAATTCTATAAAGAATATTGATCACATGTTAAAAAAATATAAGATGCTACAAATTGAATTTTTTATATACTTTGATCTCTATTTTCTTCAAAAATAGTTAAAAAGTTTTTTCAATCATTAATAGTGTTTTATTATCATAGACATAACTATTACAGGAAATTTCTTAAATAAGATGAGTTAGATAGTAATAAGTAAAAGTGAATAAGTTATACAATATCCTATAAAAAAAACTTCTTAGAAGCTCTATAGATGCCAATTTTACTTTATATGTGTTTATAGATAACTGATAAGTTAAAAATTTAACTAATGGTTGGTCAAATATTACACATGTTGGCTACATGCATTATAAATTAACTATATGGTGCATACATGAGAAACTTGTATTGCATGTTAGATACATATCATATAAGTTGCACATATTTTAAAGGTTTTGTAGAATATTGCTATGCAACTCTTAATTAGATAGTATAAATAGAAACAAAAAAATACCTTCTTCACTCTTGTCAATTCAATGCTTGTTCATTGTCTAATTTCAAGAATTTTTAGTTTTTTAGTCTTTGGCTGTAGCTACACTAGTTTTTTATTGAATTTATATATATTTATTTATTTTTTGTCACTTTTCTTTGATATATATCTATTTTTTTATTGATATTCTTTGAGTTCTTATCTTTGAAAAATTTGTAAGAATATATTTGTAATATAAAACTTTATCTTTTCTTGATTAAGAGTAGATTATTGTTTTTTTTTTTAATAAGCATAAGCTTTTTTTTTAGAAGGTGTGGATTATCTACCTCTAAACTGATATTATTCTTGAAATTTTCTTTCTTCTTAAGTCATTTCTTTTACTTGTCTAAAGTAATATTAGACATTTTATTTTGTATTATGTTATTATAGCAAAGCTTGTTGAAATGGAAAGTACAACAATTCAAATGTAAGAGCAAAATAGATGAATGAATGCTTGTAATGTATCAACTCAATTTACCACTACAAAGATAAATAAGAATGATTAGAAACAAAGATATATACATATATATATATATATATATATATATATATATATATGATTTTAATTATTTTATTATTTACATAAAATTATTTTACTTCTTTTATAATAAAATATTATTTAAGAATCAAAGAATCAAGAATTACCTTGTTTAAAAAGTTTGTTGATATAAGATCAAAGTTTTGAAGATTTATCAATCAAATAAAATTGGCGATGGAGCTTTACTTTCAAAATTATCCAAATCTAGGATGACAAGTTATTTTTATCAAAATATTACTTTTAAGTTTAAT